AAACTAAACAGCTACAGTATTTTTACAGTCTTTATTTTACAGTTAAAATATGTTTATTAAATAAAGTCTAATGTTACAACTAATCAGGGATCCCTTTAAATGGACCATGAGAGGTTCAGCAGCTAAAGCCTTTCTTCTGCCTACATCCCCCAGAATGCCTTGCAGTTCTGAATATGAGTTTAGTGAAATTATCAACATTCTATTGGACATATTTTCTATTGATATTCATCATGTGTTTCTCACAATTTATAAATGGTAAATTGTAAATGGACTATACGTTTATAGCATCTTTCTACCTGACCAGGACACTCAAAGCTCTTCACACTACAATCTGTGTCCTCATTTACCCATTCACACAGCACTCTACTAGATCTCCTACAAAGCTAACATGTACAATCAACTATGGAGACTAATCAGTGCCAATCACATTCTTACACTGATCACATGCACATCAGAGGCATCGGGGTGAAGTGTCTTGCCCAAGGACACAACAACTGAGACAGCTGGGCTGGGGGGTCGAACCGGCGACCTTATACTATTATTTTCTATTGATATTGATAATGCGTTTCTCACAATATATATTATTATTATTTTCTAGTCATATTATGTGTTTCTCACAATATATTTTTATTATTTTCTATTGATATTGATAATGCGTTTCTCACAATATATATTATTATTATTTTCTAGTCATATTATGTGTTTCTCACAATATATTTTTATTATTTTCTATTGATATTGATCATGTGTTTATTGTGATATATATTAGTGAATTATTGCTGAACCCTGGGCTGGCTATGTTTTGAGGTGACAGTATTTAGTCGTTCATGAGAAAATGTTTGCGAAATTCAGTAAACTAAATCAGATTTGTAAGGTGTGGTCTGCAATTCTTCCTGAACAATGTGAAAGAAACTGATTATGCTACACAGACAATAATTAGCTCCAGTTCTGGCTGATAAATGTGGTTCTATAAGCGGTTGACTCAGACCTCAGGCAATTTAAATGTTTTTTTTTTCCTCTCCACATTTTGATTGTTTATTTTTCCTGTTTTATTTTATTTTTTAACAAGATAATTATTGCCCGCTGCTGGAGACAAAAGTGTATTGTGGGTATCATGCCAGCAAAATATCTTGTGAACAACTTAATGGGTTTAAATGAAAACTCTCAGAAACTTATCACCTGCAACTCCCAAGTAGGGTTGGGCATAATCGTATCATGTGCAATTAATCGTCAGAAAAACATTAATCGATTATTTTTTGGCACTTGACGATTAATACGATTAATGTCACTAGGCAGATTTACTAGATATTTCCCCGGTCAGTCCACTCGATGCTCCTCTCTGCTTCAAATATAATGAACAAAAAAATAAATAAATTCTGAAATTTATTTATCTAGCAAGACAATTTAAAATTTGATGTATAGCCCAAATGTATAGCCTGTCTGTAATTTTGACAGTTTGGAACAGATTTTTATGAAGAGCAAATCTTTCCAACTAAATTGGTCATGTGACCAGGACATAAGGGTGTCCAGGGACTCCAGGGGATTAATTGTCAAATTAATCGTTATCGGCTAAATACCACAATTAATCGTGATTAATTTTTTTGCCAATATCGCCCAACCCTACTCCCAAGATGATGTTAGTTTTAACCTCTGGCATGAAATGTGGCAGGTGATATTAATTCCTTTAAGAAATGCTAAGCCTTAAATTTGTAATTTAATATCTTTTATTTGAAGTAGTATTTTTTGTTGTTTGTTTCAAGATAAAAACATGACTAAATGGCTCTTTATTACTGTGTATTTATTGTGAAAGAAAATTAGATAATGTGTCCTTCAGATCTCAGTTTTTATCTGCTTATTTTCTTTTTTAAACTAAACTGAAGCTGGTGGTTTTATTACAGCCTTTATAGGAAATATGATTGATGCTAAATTAAATAAAGATTAGTTAGAAACGACAGGAATTATAGCTTTAATGATGGCAGTAGTTGTTGTGATGTCTTGTTGGCTTTGAGCTGATGGAGTTATCTGCATTAGGTCATATGGAGAAAGACGAGAGTGGAGACGTCGACGCCAGCGCAGGGCGTTTTGTCAGGTATCAGTTCACCCCGGCCTTCCTAAAACTGCGCACCGTTGGTGCAACGTAAGTAAAAGAAACTAGTTTTCACCTCACCCCTCTCCTCACGTCAGGTTAAAACTCTGGTCTTCCCCATGTCTCTGTCCTGATTGCAGCGTGGAGTTCACCGTGGGCGACCAGCCCATCAACAGCTTCCGGATGATAGAGAGGCATTACTTCCAGGGACGCCTTCTTAAAAACTTTGACTTTGACTTTGGCTTTTGCATACCCAACAGCCGCAACACATGTGAACACATTTATGAGTTTCCACAGCTTCCAGATGACCTCAGTGAGTTTTCTAAGTTGTCTCATTATTTAAAGCTGGGTCACTTTTTTATTTATATCTATCTAAACTTTTCTTTGTTTCTCTTTCTCCTGTTTTAGTTTGCCAAATGGTGGAGCACCCCTATGAGACCAAATCAGACAGTTTCTACTTTGTGGACAACAAACTCATCATGCACAACAAGGCGGACTACGCCTACAATGGTGGGCTGTAATATCTGAAGGAAAAAATGGGTCCGTGACCTTACAGTGGTTAGATTTCCTGGATGACACTTGTTTTAATTTTTTTAAATGTTTTTAGTTTTGGGGGATGCATAGAAATATTTTCTTTTTTGTGGACTTTTTTTTACGCTAAACAAAAATAAATAAATAAATAACAAACCACCTCTGCTGAAACAGAATATCATAAATTCATTTAACTCTGAGACTCAGAAGGATTTTTATTAATTTTTTTTTGTTATGTTTGATTCTTTCTGTTTAAAGTGTTTTAGTTTGTGAAACTACCACGTTACTGCTTTAACACTTTTGCCTTGGCTAGCTGGTCGTCTCTGCTGGAAGGGGACACTTTGAGACACAGAACACACACRAGAAGTCCTGTAAACCAGGTTAGTTAGAATCTAATTGACGTAAACACAGATACTTTCAGTGTGTGTTTATTTGAACTACCTTTTGCAAGTGACAATTGGGTTTCCTGTTTGGAAAGGCGAGCTTATCTAGATATTTTTCGGTATCTTTACTAACAGAGGAATATGTAGCATTTTAGACATTAGGTGACACTTTTCGTCACATAAGATCTCTGTTTTTTATGGTGTATCATTAAGTTGACTGAACTCTTTGATAGGATATATTTTAATTTCTATTTTCATCAGTTTAGATGCTGTGTTCATCCTAAATCATGTTGYGTAGTTTGCTTTTTTATTTGTTCATGCTATCAAAATCTGTGATGAAAAAGTCAACAGTCCCTTGCACATTTTTATCTTTGTGTAATCTGTGTCTACAGCCATTTAATGTCTTGTTTATTCACCCCAATGYGGTTACGCTGTTAGGAATCTGTTTGTCTTCCCATTTTATTTGGCAACGCCACACTGTGAATTTCTAATTTGCTCTGCGTTCTCCTGATGTTCACCTCGGTTCTCAGTTTACCAGTTAAATAGCACATTAGCACCACACAGCTAAACCACACAGAGATGTAGCTCAATAGATGATCTGTTTTTAACGAGGCTCTACAGACTGATCCAGATTTTAACTCTTTTACTCCAAACATTCATCAGTGCAGTCTTTTGCCACTTTGCACAACCGYCCCGTAAAATGCCCTAAATTCATTTAGCTCCTACTTTTATAGAAATGCCGTTAAATTGATTAGATGGCCGTTTACTGTGGTGCTGTTGATGTGGTGCGTCTATAGAAAGGTGCCCCTGAAAAGCTAAAAATCATTAAAAACAACAATAATGGAAAAAAAGAAAAAGAAAAATCACAGCTGTAAAGCAGGAAAGTGCCTTGAATGTTGGAGTTAAGGTCTTATTTCATTGTTTTATATTTKGAAACTTAGACTCAAGAGAAAAGATGGCAGCAAGCCACAGTGAAGATCAACTCTTCATTTTACCGCCTCTGTTATTATCGCCTTSTATCGGTGCCTTGTATTCAATAGGAAGTTCTCCAACATATCATATTGTCATTTACATGTAGAATATAGTGATTCCTCACTTTTATAMAGGATACTAACACTTCATTGAGCTTGTCTCAGAAGAGGGGATGTCAGTCATAATAGTCTTTTTTGCTTCACTACTTTTATGGTTCTCATTTTGATAGTTGAATTTGRTGGATGTGTGAGGTGGCTGCTTAGCAGCACTTCTGGTGGATCTGAGGAGGACTTGCTTTTGTCATTCAATACATGAGTTGTAGTTTATTAAAATCTTGTAAGAAGTGCGCATGATTTTAAATCGGCACTTATTCAGAGTCCATGAGATAGTCCTGAAGATTTCTGTGTGCATAAAGGAGACAGGTGACTCTGTGGCTGTGCCAGCTGTGAGGGAGGAGCATCTCCCTGGACAGCTGTGGCTGTGCTGACCAGAAGGAAGAGCTTCTCAACATGATACATTTGCASGTGATGAGTGCTACAGAGGGAGGACAATGGAAGGGCTTTTACCAGGTCTGCTTTGAAGCCTGGATTGTCCATGTGAGAAAATGACACCATCACGTCAGCGAGATCTGTTGTCTTGTATTAGCTGGAGTATAAACAGCTCTTAGTAATGGACTGTTTTTTTTTTTGTTTGTTTGTTTGTTTTTTCTTGAAATGCTGCATGTTATTCCCTTTTTATTATCATCTGACTGAAGTGACACAATAATGTGTTATGAGAATTGTAAATAAAATTGTCTGACAGCAAAACCTTACGTTGAAAGTCTGATTCGTATTTGGGGTCATCATATAGCTTGCAGCACAAACTGTCAGTGGTGGGCAGCACTAATYTAAAAATTAGTTCCACTAGCCCTAAAACACTAACTCAAATATTTAGCTCCCTTAATTCTAAAGCACTAATGCACTGAAAGTATTAGCAAAAGCTGATTCTAAAGCACTAAAATAACTCCGTCAACCCAGGAACATTCTTCAACAGACAACATGAGTCACTTATGGCCATGTTGCTCTCTTTAGACTTATCATTGACATTCCACAGCTGTATTTGGTTCATATATTGTCAATATGTCACCTGGTGGATAAGTGACACACATATGAACAAAATGTGTGACAGCTTGTTAACATTAACGTTAATAACATTTATAGACCTCAGTTAGTGCTTCTAAATTTAGCATATAAATTTAACAAGTGCTAATCCACTAATAAATTTTAAAATTAGCAAAAGCCCTAAAGCACTAATTGGGAAATTAGTTGCCCGATTAGTGCTTTAGGGGATCTATGCCCATCACTGAAAATTGTTTATTAAAACAGTTTTTCCATGATAGGACTCAATGTACTGAACATACAATAGTTCAACAATTAATTGCGTTGTTGATAAAGAAACTAAACCTGTTTTGCAGTTTGCTTTTAGGTTAAACAGTATAAAAATGGAGTCTTGGGCTGTTTTCTGAGTAAGTCTTCCTTATTTCCTTCAAGCTCATAAAGTGATAACATTAATATCTACGGTCAATTTTACCCAGAAATTATTAATTTATCTTGGAAAAATGAATCGTCTGGTCCGAGCGACGAAAAGACTACATTACCCAGAATCCTCAGTTGAAAAACAGACGAGAGGCACGTGGTTCAATATGGCGGCGCCCCGGGGAAACACGGAGGGAGATTCGAGCAGCAGCGAAGACGAAACGCTTAAAAGATGTCGGGAGGCAGTTTGGGAAACACCAGCGAACAGCAGGAAAGGTAAATATTCATGTTTGTGTTGAAGAACGAAGCGAACAATATCTTTAATTATTCCAGCTGAAGGTATGTACATTTACATGTGTGCTAATTAAACTGCAGCCAACAGACCTGGGCAGGCTGGTTCATTAATTAACTGTTTGTCTTTAGATGGAGACACTGGTGTAAACAAGTCTAAACGGTAAGTGTTTGTGTCAGTATTTACCAGAGTTGTAAAGTAACTAAGTACGAATACTTTGTTACTGTACTGAAGTAGATATTTTTTGGGTATCTATACTTTACTCAAGTAATTATTTTTCAGCCTACATTTCTACTTCTTACATTTTCACACAATTATCTGTACTTTCTACTTCTTACATTTGAAAAAAGGCGAGGAGTAGAAAATCGTTACTTTGATTTCATCTTTGCTTGTTTTCATTCCAGCTTGTTATTGTGAAAAATAAAAACTATCCATATAAATTGTGCCTCCTAGAGTGAATTTAATTGTGGTTGAATGAAAAGTATAAATCTATAAAATTCT